TTTTTTTTTTTTTTTTTTTTTTTTTTTTTTTTGGGGTCTCGTAACTTTATTGATTGCCCCTACTTGGGTCATAAGCACACGCTGGTGCACCTGTAACAAGGAGGGAAGTTATCTCAAAAGACTTAAAATCTCTTGGAATCCATGCGAAATTAATTAACAAAAGAACGACATTGCTGTTATCAAAAGAATAGAACCACACTGGAAGCAAAGAATCCATAAAGATGATACCAACTAGTTTGGAATGTTGTATCATTTTACATGCTTATTGTTTCTCTTGCTCCCACTGAGATTCATCTGACTCAAGCTATTGTATGAACATGTATACAAGGACCTTTTAAATAGTTAATCCTTTATAATAGACTAGTTTGGGATGGAAGCCAACCTCCTTAGTTACAGGACATTATTAGTTAGATGAGAATCCAGAAAGTAGATTATCTAAAATTAAGTATAAGAAGCAGCACGAACATAGTCTTAGAAGGAACAATATCTGTGAAATTGCTATCTTCTCTGAGATGAGAGGAGGAAAATGCCAAAATGTTTTCTCGCATTTCAGTGGGGCAGCAGATTGTTGGTGTATGCCTCTTGATCGGGTGTGTGTCAGCATTTGATGCTAAAAAAAGTAAACGATTTTGCTAGGGAAGGTTTGGGTAAAGGCAGGAAATGATAGTGTGGCAAGCTTTCCGAAATATATATGAAGATTTCAAGGAGAAGACTTCTTGTAGTTTTGTGTCTTTACATCCCATGAGTAAGGGAATTTATACAAAACTCCTAATAATAATTAAGAAAATAGAATAAATCTATACAATCAGTCCAACTATCAAATCAAATCAAATAAAATCAGATCTCCTAAATATAATCAAATCTCCTGAAATCTTGCTAATCAACAATCTTCTAAATAAATTAATCTCCTTAAGTCATTCTAATCAACACTCCCCCTCAAGTTGGTGCAAAGATGTCGCACATACCCAACGTGCAACTCAATGTATGAAAAGTCCGCTTGTTGAAACCTTTGGTAAACATATCAGCTAGCTGTTTTTCCGAGGACCCCGTTTGCCAGATTATTGCCGATGTAATCATAAAAAGCTAATTTTCAAGAATTTTAGAATAGGCTTCTGATATACTTTGATTTTCTGCTAGCCCAACACTAACTTTTCGATATATTTCTTGCTGGAAGTACCCTCGATCCAATTGGTAACGAGTGGGCCCAAATAATTCAATTGGGGAAGTTGCCATGAAACAAATTCAAGACACCAGTTGTAACTTTCTCTTTGGTGAAGTGTCGATTAATGTCCACATGCTTTGTTCGCTCATGCTGGACTAGATTATGAGCTATACTGATGGTAGCCTTGTTTTCACAGTACAAGAGTCCCAATTCCTCTAGTAACTTTTATAGCCAAAGTACTTTGCAAACACCCTGGGCCATAACTCTATATTCTACCTCCGTACTTGATCTAACAACTATATTTTGCTTCTTGCTTCTCCAAGTAACCAAGTTTCCTCCTACGAGTGTACGTAACAAGATGTAGATTTTCTATCATCTTGAGATCCAGCCCAATCTGCGTCCGTAAAGGCTTCTATTTGGAGGTGATCATATTTGGAGAAAAGTAGACCTTTCCATGGAGCAGACTTCAGATACCGCAAAATGTGAAAGATAGCTTGCATATGAGGATCTTGGGATCATGCATGAACTTACTCACCAGGCTAACTGGGTAGGCTATGTCTGGTTTAGTGTGGGAGAGAAAAATGAGTTCCAACCAATCTCTGATATCTGTCCTTATCAACTAACACTCCAACTCCACTTTGTAACTTGTGATTGCTTTTAATGGGCGATTCTGCTGGTCTGCAACCTGTCATACCAATTTCTTTGAAGAGATCCAAAATATACTTTCTTTGAAAAATAAAGATTTCTCTTTTTGATCTAGCAACCTCAATTCCCATAAAGTACTGTAATTTTCCTAAATCCTTGAACTCAAATTCATGTGCCAACAACTTCTTCAATCGGGTCATCTCCTCTTTGTCATCTCCTGTCATTACTATGTCATCAACATAAATATGAGAAGAGTGAGTTTACCATTTGATGTCTTACGAAGAGCGTGTGATCAACATTGCTTTGTTGGTAACCGAAGGAGATCATTGTTTTGCACAATCTGTCAGACCAAGCTTTGGAGGATTGCTTTAGTCCGTACATGGCTTTTTTCAATCTGCATACCTTTCCCTGACTTTGTGCAGTATCAAATCCAAGAGGAATCTCCATATACACTTCTTCTAGGTCTCCATGAAAAAAATGCATTCTTCATATCAAACTGTTGCAAGTCCCAATCAAGATTAGCTGCACAAGACAAAAGAATTCTAATGGTATTCATTTTAGCAACATGGGCAAATATCGCTTGATAATCCACTCCATAAGTCTAAGTGAATCCCTTAGCCACCAATCTTGCTTTGAATCTTTCAATTGAGCCATCGTTTCGTGCTTCACAGTGAAGACCCATTTGCAACCAACCAGCTTCTTGTCTAGTGGTGAAGTGACAAGTTCCTAAGTCTCATTTTTTGACAAGGCCTTCATTTCTTCAATTATAGCTTGCTTCCATTTAGGATCTGCACAAGCTTCTCTCCAATTCTTGGGGAATAGACACAAGAAATGGACAAGGCAAAGACTCTATAGGAGGGAGACAAAGAATTATAGGAGACAAAATTAGATAAAGGGTGTTTTGTGGTGCAATATTTGACTCCTTTTCTGTGAGCAATAGGCAAATCTAACTCATTAGGAAATATAGACAACTCACCGAGGAAGGTTCAACTTCGGTAGATTGCATGATGACTTCTTCTTCTTCTACTCTATTTCACTTTGAGTAAATTTTCAGATCAGGACTATCCAAACGCCAATAGTCTCCCCCTGAATTCTTTCTCCATGGTGACTTCTTCTTCTTCTAATCTGACTCCTTTTATGTGAGCAATAGGCAAATCTAACTTATTAGGAAATATAGACAACTCACCGAGGAAGGTTCAGCTTCGGTAGATTGCATGATGACTTCTTCTTCTTCTACTCTATTTCACTTTGAGTAAGTTTTCAAATCAGGCCTATCCAAACGCCAATAGTCTCCCCCTGAATTCTTTCTCCATTATGACTTCTTCTTCTACTCTATTTCACTTTGAGTAAGTTTTCAAATCAGGCCTATCCAAACGCCAATAGTCTCCCCCTGAATTCTTTCTCCAATTTCACTTTCCCCAATAGTAATGGTAGTGATTTCAACCGTGGAACTTGGGAGAATCTTCTCTTCCTCCTTATAGTTCTCCCCTTGAAGAGGTGATGGTGTAATACTGAAATAGGGATTAGATTCTCGAAAAGTGACATCCATGTTGACAAATGATTTTCGAGAGGGAGGATGATAGCATTTGTACCCTTTTTGTGTTGGAGAATACCCAATAAAGATACATTTAAGAGCTCTGGGATCAAGTTTCCCAGAGTTCCTATTTTGAACAAAGTAGACACACCAAGATACCTTTTATATTGTGAATAATATAATCATTCTTACCCTTTAAATCTTCCAAGGGATTCTGAAAATTGAGGGTTTTAAGTGGTATTCTGTTGATGAGATAATCATCTATTAGAACGGCATCCCCGGTAAGGTTTTGGTAGATTCATAATAATCATAAGAGATCTTGCCACTTCTAATATATGCCTATTTTTCCTTTCAGCAACCCCATTTTGTGCACTAGTATAAGGACAACTTGTTTGGTGGATTATCTCATAAGACTCCAAATAAATACCAAATTTTTATCCATGTATTTTGTACCATTGTTGTTTCGCAAGATTTTTATCTTAGTCTTAAATTGGGTACAAATCATCTTATGAAACGACTAAAAACAGGAGAAAATTCACTTTTGGCCTTTAACAAATACACCCAAGTCATCCTAGTGCAACAATCACTAAAAGTAACAAACCATCGATTACCAGACAAAGAAACTGTTTGAGTAAGGATCCCCTACATCAGAATGAGTAGTTGAAAAAGGAGTTGTACTTTTATGATCACGTAAAGGATAAGAGTTTCTAGTATGCTTGGCAAATTCACAAGCATCACAAAACAAAGATCCAAACTTAGTTCTGAAAAGCAAACTAGGATATAGCTTCTTCAAAGAAAAAAGATGGGTGCCCCAACCATCTATGACACTGTATTATTTCTTGGTTAACATCCTTATTTTTCCCCAAAAAGGCTTGATTAGAGTCTCGAATCCCATCAATCCAATATAAGTCATCATGCAATCTACCACTGCCAATCCTATTCGTTGTTTTAAAATCCTTAAAATCCTGAAAAACACAATGATCAGGAAAGAACTTGACACTACAATTTAGTTTTTTGGTGATGGCGCTAACATATAACATATTAATAGGAAACTCAAGTACATGGAGAACGGATGATAATATAATTTCAGATGTACAAACAACATAACCTGTTCCAGAGACGGGAGTTAGGGAGCCATTGGTTATTCTGACATAATCCCGTTTGGGACTAGGAGATTAATTTTGGAAGTCTTTAGAGGAGCCTGTCATGTGTCTATTCGCACAAGAATTAATAAACCAAGAATTAATGTGAGCATTAAAGGAAATACCTGACTGTACATAGTTGGAAGTGGCAACATTAGAATAATCAAATTTGTTTAGAAGACTGCGAAGATGCTGAACTTCATCCGAAGACAAAGCTTCTCCAGAAGCAATTTACTTGGATGTCTCTGTTTTCTGCAATATTAGCTTGAACCCTTGATGGACTTACACGTTTTCCTCTACAATTTCTAGTTGGTCTACCATGTAGTTTCCAACATGTCTCCTTTTTATGCCTTGGCTTTCCACATTAATCACAGTGCAGGTGAACTTTATCAGAAGTGAACACATTTGGTTGCTCATGAGATACAGCTAACCCGGACTTCTCCGTTGGTGCTGAATAAAGCATGACCCTTTGCCGGCTCTCTTCTTGTTGAACATAAGAGTATGTTGAACATGAGAGTGTGCATCCTCAAGAGAAGGAAAATGAACTTTATCGATTGCTTGAACCCTGAAATCATCAACCCTTTCCTTTTCAACCAATTGTTGAAAGAGAACTGCATCATTAGTACACTTTGCTTAGAGATCCTGATAGTAGTTAATCTCCTGCCATAACCCACTTAGCTCAGAGTAATATTCAGTAATAGTCAACTCACCTTGCCCAGCGATATGAATTATTTTTCGAATTTCAAAGATCTCATCGTCATTTCCCTTGCGAGAGTAAGTGCACTTAGTCGAATTCCATATCTTCTTAGCAGTATCAAGCAACAAGTACTGTTTGGAAATGCGAGGGTGCATCATATTTAAAAGCTATGTCATAACTAGAGAATTATCTGAATCCCATTGACTATAGCTAACATCAGTCACAACATGTGCTTTCTTTTCTCCTTAACCAAGCAACTTTCTAGGCTTAATAAAAAAGCAAACAAGATCTTGACCAAGCAAGATAAGTACCAGCCCTTACAACACTTATTTGTGAAAGAGAAATGTTGTCCCTCGGGTAAGTGTTATCAACCGCCTTAGTGTCCCCCATAGTTCAAATAGCACTCCAAATCAGAAAATAAATTTTCTAAAAATTGGAAAGAAACTTCCTCAAACTTGTCTCACAGAAGAAGGAAAAAACTGAAACAAATCACTGTCTTGTCGTAAAGAGTAGGTCTGCCTTACCTGAACCCTAGCTTTGGTGATCCGAGAAAGTATCAACCTAACTGGGGTAGGGTCAGAACATGCATGCGAACCACATGGAAAATTGTTCTTCCAAAACTGCCATAAAAAGATTTTCACGGAACTTCTTAAAGTCACCGAAAAAAACTATTTTGAGGGAGGAAACTCGACCTGTTGCTACAAATATGAAACCCCAGTGCTGCGAGGGAGAAAAACTCACCTCTAACGGCAGCAATAGCTCTGATACCATGAAGATTTCAAGAAGAAGAAGAAGAAGACTTCTTGTATTTTTGTGTCTCTTTACATCCCATGAGCAAGAGAATTTATACAAAGCTCCTAATGCTAATTAAGGAAATAGAATAAATCTATGCAATCAGTCCAACTATCAAATAAAATCAAATCTCCTAAATATGATCAAATCACCTGAAATGATGCTAATCAACAATCTTCTAGATAAATTAAATCTCCTGAAATCATGCTAATCAACAAAATATTATTTTCCAAGTAACATAGTTTTATATGTAAGAGCGCAATGCGCGATGTGTAGGTTAGGCGCATGTCATGGATAGTACAAGAGAGATAAACAATAAATATGATTGGCAAAAAAATATATTAATTGTTAAGGAAATCATTATGAATGAAGTTACTTTTTTCTTGCATTACATATATATTTTTTTACTTTTTTCTTTGTTGCGCCTTTTTTAACTAAAGCCCACACTTTAATTGTGCTTTGCGCGTAAAGCCTCGATAGATAGACATGAGCGCTAGTTTAAGCCTTTCACCTTTGACAACACTGACGGGCAGCAGATTGATGGTTGTATGCTACCAAAAGTCAATGATTTCTGGTTTGTTTTGGTATTCTCGTGTAGTGCCTTTCATGAAGGCATGCATTCTTACTGTTTAGGCTGTTTGGCATTTTCTAATGTGCATATTCTTGCAAGCTGGAGTGGAGTTCGAATAATATACCGTGAAACCTCTCTATAACAGTCTTATTTGTTCCGGATTTTTTTGGTTGTTATAGCGAAATGCTATTATAGGGAACATATATTATAACATAACATGAAAATCGGTTCCATAAAAAACTTGACTTTTATAGTGAATGGTTGTTATATGACGATGCTGTTATAGAGAGGTCTGACGGTACATTCTTTTGTTTTGACATCTTTTCCAATTATTACCTGATCAATACTCCGGCCAGTAGTTATACCTACAATACTCTCTGATTATTGCAAATGATATTATGACAGATGATCCTCTTTGATTTCCTGCAATGCATGTTTTATATCTTGACTTTTAAGAATTTTGGTAGTAGTTTTTTATTGCATCAAGCCATCTTAGATAATCTGTATACTATAATAATCCGTGGTTTGTTCATGCCCAGTGGGGAAAGCGGAGCTGGCAAAACTGAAACAGCAAAGATAGCCATGCAATACTTGGCTGCCCTTGGAGGTGGTAGTGGAATAGAGGATGAGATTCTGAAAACGAATCCGATTTTAGAAGCCTTTGGTAATGCTAAAACTTTAAGAAATGACAACTCAAGTCGATTTGTAAGTGATTTTCTTGTAACTGACCTGGATTTGACTTAGTAATCATTTTTCAAGATTTCTTCCTAGCATTTAAGAAATTGTTTAATTTTTGACAGGGGAAACTTATTGAGATTCACTTTAGTGAGACTGGAAAAATATCAGGGGCTAATATTCAAACATGTAAGAACAGCATCCTGTATAAGTTCATTAAATGAAATTTTGACACGAAAGTAAAATCTAGTGGCTGACATATATTTGTACTTTTCCTTTGACTGCTGATGTGGTTTCTTGATCTTCACAGTTTTACTTGAAAAGGTACTTTTCCTTCCAATTGCCTTGATCGTCAGCAAAATTTATTTTATTTTTCTGTAATGCAAACTTAATTATAAGTTTTATGGAACAGTCCAGAGTGGTTCAATGCAGTGAGGGAGAAAGGTCATATCATATATTTTATCAGCTCTGCGCAGGAGCTCCAGGGGCTCTCAAAGGTAAGAATGATAAATCTGTAGGAGGGTGAGAATTTTATTGTTTGATCTGTCAATGCACCTGCTCTAGATGTTTTGCCTATAAGATGTGCTGTTCTCTGTTTGATCCCTATTTTTGGTTGGCACTTCCATGTTCTACAGTAACTGTCATAGAAACCGTTGACTACGTATGGATTATCTCCAAATATCTCAAGGAAAGATAGTTCACCTTAGCTGAATGCACCATACTATAGCTGGTATGTTGTATCTTGGTGGTGGTGGAGGTTGTAGGCATTATGGCGGGTTTGGTGGCTGATTTGGAATCAACAAACTTTCGACCAATTCAGTCAAATTCTGCATTGATTTCTTCGTTGCACTTTAATTTCTTCGTTGTCTCGTTCAAGGGCTGTAGTTCTTAATCTTTCAATCTGACGTTGTTCATCAATGAAGAGGATCCCGAGCTTGTTATTTTGTTGTCTGCCGGCATGATGAACAAGATAACAATTCAAGAATTCAGACCTGGACTGGTGCTCGGATACCAAATTGATGTACTTTCAAGGTTTTGCACCTCTCAAGCACAAAGAAGAGAGAAAATCAAAAGCGCGCTGCTAAAGTTTTTCACAAAACTAGCGAAAGCGTTCTTCAAAGTTCAAACTCACGTTAGAAGAATATAAGATGAAAAGAAACCTCACCCACACGTTCCTCAATCCCACAAGATTGCAAGAAGTGTTGAAGAAGCGAAGAAAGGAAACAAAAGAGTCAATTACGTTTTTGAAGCTAATGCTCAAAGAAACTAATCACCAATCTCTATTTTCAGTATATTGAGTCCTTTAAAATTTTTTACTTTCTACTGATGATGTCAGATTGATAATCTGTATTTCGGTTTCCCTGTCCTCCTTTCGGTCTTTTCCTGCAAAATCTGTATGTGCTTGAATAAGGATCGAAGTTTAGCACATGCTAATACTAATGCCAGCTTCATATCAATATATGAGAGGTTTTGGACGAGAATTGCATGTAGCAAAGCAATTATAGTACAACAAAAATGGAAGTTGGACTGAATGATAGTATGTGTTTGATTTATAGTTTTTGCTGATCGTTGCTTTGCTTAATATAACTTAAATATGAGTACTTTGATTTGGAATTACAAGTTATTACTATATTTGTCAGACACTTAGGTCTTTTTCCTTTTCTCTTTGTACCTCATCTGCAGAGAAATTAAATTTGAAGGATGTAAGTGAGTATAACTACCTGAGACAAAGCAATTGCTACTCAATTTCTGGGGTTGATGATGCCGAACAATTTCGTATTGTAATGGTAATATTCTTCTCGTCTTGCACTCAAGTTTGATCCTTATTCCACGAAAAAATAATTTCACCTTTTATCTTTAGGCTATTTGACTTTGNGCAACAACACTTTAACCGTCACTTGTTCAAGTTGGAACAAGAGGTGATGATCCCTTTGCTTAATCCTATTAGAAACTGATGCATTGGTTGAATATATTTGCACCTGACTTTCAGGCTTTCTAGCTCTTGATACCTGTTAAATATAGTATCTTCACTTAGGTCATGTCTTTGTTTGTTTTCCTCCTCCTGCTCAATGATACTGATTGAATCTGTGCAACCATGGATAGAATGCAAAGGCTTTTGCTTCAGGGTAAAAAATGTGTAAGAACAACGGAGAACATGTAGCATCCCCGAACTCTCGGCCCAATTAGTGGAAAAAGAGAAGGTTCTGCGGTAGCTATAGCTTTGACTTAATGTCAAAACTACTAGATATTGCAGATTTCTTGAATTCTTTGATTTTGTTAGGTTTGTACATAAGACTTATAACTATGGATGCCATTTAAGCTTGTTGTTGGGAGAAAGGCGGGGGAAAGTGGAGTCGGGATGGGGTTCTGTTAGCTTTGGTTGGATAAGGTGGATTTCCTAACGTTTGCCATTATTATATGCTAGAGATATTTCCATTGCTCTGAACATAGTGTATTAGTAAATTTCTGTTCCTAATATATGCCTATTTTGACATGTGAGACTTCATATGGTGAGTTATTAGATAAAATAGTTTCATAAACTATACTTATTTTTATAGCCTGAGACCATGTAATACCAATTTAGAATCCAGTGCCATGTATGGTAAGCATTTATAACTATTTTCCAAACATCTAAATACTTTAGAATAAACATACTGCTTTCTAGTTCCACTTCTAAACAGGTGGTGACAACAGATTTCTTTTTTAATTAACATGATGCACATTTTCAACATCTTTTTAATAAATGTCCCAAGAGGAAATACGACATCAATATGACAGAGTGAATAGAAGTTAAGGTACGAATATAAGCCTGACTGAGCACGAATCAGCCTCCCAGAAGTCATACCAAGAAATCCTTTTTCTCTTCCACAATGGTGCTGCTTCCTAATTATTAAAATATCTGTCCGCTATTCTGTCCATTAAGAGGTGTTTCAGTAGCAGCTTTCTGTTAGTGGACAGAATGACAGATGGTAATTCACTTGGGCAAAGTTAAGCTAACTGAGTCTTGCAAAATGATGGGAAAGAAGCTTATTTTCAATTTTAAAAAGCACAATCTTTATTGATATTGGCTATGGAGTTGGAATCTTTTTCTTCATGGGTTTTTTTGATTTTGAATACCAAGTGTAGTAGACTTTACTCGCCTAGGTATCTTGAGTAGGTGAAAAGTGTGAAGGTGGTTTTGATTTCATCCATCTTACGTCTTTTATCTTTTTATCACTTTGCAGGAGGAAGCTTTAGTTCTATTGTTGTTTTGCATAATTAGAGATTGTGAATCTTAATTTTCTGAAGAAGGGTGTGAGAAAATAAGATTAGGGAAGAAATATAACAAAGACTTAATGAGTTGATGAAATCAAGTCTCACCTATTATAGGTGTTGGATACAAGACGTGATATTTGTCAAATGTTGGATGATATCTTACACAAGAACTTATTTCATCCTTTTTAATATGTAGACCTTTGTAAAAAATAAAATTTTTAACACACCTCTTTAAAATAAGAGTGGGTAAACCAAATTCATTTTATTTATTTTGAAAACATTCCGTAGACGAGGAGGAGAAGAGGACGAGTAAGGGGTGCTATAAGAAGGTTAAGAAGGAGGCGAAGTTAGCGGTTACAGCGGCTAAGACTGCAGCATTTGGTAGTTCCTACGAAGAACTTGGGGGCAAAGGCGGAGGACAAGAAGCTGTGCATGCTAGCCAAGGTGAGAGAAAAAGAAGGCCAATGACCTGGACCAAGTGAAGTGCATCAAAGACAAGGAACACAGAGTTTTGATGGAAGAGGTACATATTCGACGAAGATGCCAGACATACTTCCATAACTCTTGAACGAAGAGGGGGCAAGAACAATGTGCTGGGTGATTTGGAACGATGCGAGAGTCGTCAAGACTTTAGGTATTGTAGGTGTATAAAAATTAAGAAGGTCAAGGGGGTTATGCGTAAGATGAGCGGGGAAGAGCGATCGGGCAGATAAAATTCCGGTGGAATTTTGGAAGAACGCGGGCAGGGCAGGCTTGGAGTGGCCACTGGGCTGTTTAATGTCATTTTTAGGAAGAAGAAGATGCTCGAAGAATGGAGGTGGAGTACGATGATCCCTTTGTAGAAGAGCAAGGGTGATATCAAAAATTGCAACAACTATAGAGGTATTAAGCTGCTAAGTCATACTATAAAAGTCTGAGAGAGGGTGGTGGAGTTGAGGGTGAAGAGGAGTGTGTCTATTTCCAAGAACCAGTTCAGAATTCATGTCAGGGCATTCGTCTACGAAAGCCATTCACCTTGTTAGGAGAGCGGTGGAGCAGTACGGGGAGAGGAAGAGGGACTTACATATGGTGTTCATTGACTTAGAAAAGGCTTACGATAAAATCCCGAGGGAGGTCCTGTGGAGATGTTTGGAGGCTAGAGGTGTATCCGTTACATATATTAGGGCGATTAAGGGCTTTGTATAATGGAGCTAAGACCCATGTGAGAACAACGGTAGGAGACTCAGAACACTTACCATTTGTGATGGGGTTGGACGAGGGATTAGCTCTCAACGCGTTTTTATTTCCCCCGGTAATGGTAATAGTCGCACTGACGCGTCACATTCAAGGGGAGGTGCCATGATGCATGTTATTTGCAGATGACATTGTAATGATTGACGAGACGTGAGGCGGTGTTAACGGGAGGTTAGAGGTTTAGAGGCAGACCCTGGAGTCTAAAGGCTTTAGTATACATTACCTTCCCTCGAATCTCGCCGTATCTGTTTTCTGGGTCTTAGAAGTTGCTATCTTTATATTAGTCTCATGTTGCTCTTCTTCTTTGTTTTGGCTTTGACAATGTTACTTCCGGTCTACCATCTTATGCAATGTTCATGACCAAGCTTGCAGCATTTCGTCACCCTGTCTAAAAGAGATTTCAAAAAGAAGCCCAAGTTTTTTAATTCTTCCCACCTCATTTCCTTGGACCCTGACAATTTTGTAGTTTCTGTCGTGTAAATGGTAGGATGGACATAGCTGTAGTTTGATGCTGACTTGTTCTTTCTTTTTTTTTTTTTTTTCAAAATGAGTACTCAAAACGGTATCCCTATCATATTATTCCATTTCTAAATTTGATTTCTCTTCCTGAGGTGAGCAATCTCCTATCTTCCTGAACACCCTTTATCCGAATTCACTTTCTCTTTTGCATCATATGATATCCACCTTTGTTTTAGTACAGATACAAAAATGTTTTCTTCTCTCGTTTTCTACATTATTATATTTATCCCAAAAGAAGTTCTTACAAAGAATAATTAAAGCATTGCCATGTTCACCAGATACTAGTGAGAACAGTGATGCTGTTATGAATGAGAGAATTGATCTCAACCTCCTTTTTGAATCTCAGCATGACCCTTCAATTATTAAGTTGGTGGATATTTTCTTGTGAGTCTTCTCTTGGTATAATCACAATTGACTAGATTAGCAGAAGCAGGCCCTTTTAATGGTTTACAATAAGTTTGTAGGGAGAATGGCTGTGACTTATACTTTCTCCTGTTTGGTTTGGAATGTAATTTTGTGACAGAAAAATGTCATTATTGTTTGAAAAAAGGTATGGTCAATTTTATTATTGTTGTTGGTTACATTTATTTGTCTTACTACTATTTTAATGTACTAAACGATTATACAGTAAGTTTGCTCCAAACATTTTAATTTCACAGCATTTCTCAAATAGTAGTTATAATTATTGTAATTGTCACACCAACATGCTGACTTCAAGGGTTGATTTTGTACATTTGCCTCTACGTACTAAAGGCTTATTTAGCATGTTGCTTAAACATTTATAACAAAAATACTGTTTTGCCGATCCATTAGCTGCTTAAGAAGTTTTCAAGCTTATGGTGTTAAGCTAATAGCCTGTTTGGCCAAGCTTTTTTTGGGCCAAAAGTGCTTTTTTTCCAAAAATTGAGGTGTTTGGCCAAGCTTTTAGAAGGAAAAAAAATGCTTTTGAGGAGAAGCAGAAGCAGAAGCAGTTTTTGAGAAGTAGAAAAAAGTAGCTTATCTCCAAAAGCACTTTTCTGAGAAGCACTTTTGAGAAAAATACACTTAGAAGCAGTTTTTAAAAGCTTGGCCAAACACTAATTACTGCTCAAAAGTGCTTTTCAAATTAATTAGCCAATCACAAACTGGTGATACTTTTCAAAAAAGTACTTTTGAGAAAAACACTTTTCAAAATAAGCTGATTTTAGAAGCTTGGCCAAACAGGCTATAAATACTGTTTGATAATCTACTACAGAATTAGGTGGCAGCAGTTTTTACTCTAACATGCATGACCACTGCATTTGCCAATTAGGCAACTTAAAGGATGCTTCCAGGAGCTTTAGTTTGTTTTATTTGTATATTACCATATTTAACTCTTCATTAACAGCTGACTGTCTTTCCAGGAGTATATTCAAGATGGCATTGATTGGACAAAAGTTGATTTTGACGACAACCAAGATTGTCTAAATCTGTTTGAGAAGGTTTGTATGTGTAGTCTCTTAAATAAATCTAACTTAGTCCTAGCCATTTATATTGTTTTCTTTTACGTTTTCTTTAGTTAATTTTAGGAGTTTATGTATTCATGGCTCTCATAAAACAGATGTGGTCACATTCGTTAAAAGCATGTTTTTCCCTAAGTCTTGTTCTGGTATTACATTAGCCTGAAATATGTAGTAAGTGAATTATGCTGATAGAGGAACCAAATTGCCACAATGGAGGCCTTCCATGTCTAGTGTTTCTTGAAGTATATATCTGGTTTAGCATACTGAAACTTCTCTTTTCTCTTTTATGCAGAAACCACTGGGTTTGTTATCTCTGTTAGACGAGGAGTCCACCTTTCCTAATGGCACGGACATGTCATTTGCCAACAAACTCAAGCAGCATCTAAATTCTAATCTTTGTTTCAGAGGTGAACGAGGGAAGGCTTTTACAGTATGCCATTATGCAGGGGAGGTATGCTTGTTTATGACCTACTTGTTTTGTCCCATTTCACGCGCTATCTAATGTAGTGACGTGAATGGCTTGTTTATGCTGTTTCCTTATTTCTATCAGGGAAATGTAATAATTCCTTTGTTACCAGGTTACTTATGATACAACTGGATTTCTTGAGAAGAATCGTGATTTACTGCACTCCAATTCAATTCAGCTTCTATCTTCTTGCAAGTACCACCTTCCTCAAACGTTTGCATCAAATATGCTTGCTCAATCTGAAAAGCCTGTTGTTGGCCCATTGTACAAATCTGGTGGAGCAGACTCCCAAAAATTAAGCGTTTCCACCAAATTCAAGGTATTTTTACATATAGAAACTACTTTTTTATAACTAAAAGAAAAGATAAAACTTCCGTTCCCATTTCTTCTGAAAGTCAGGTTATTTGAAATCCAATAACATGCTGATATGGTCCAAATGCTACCATCAAAACAAAAAGAAAGGGGGATATGGAGAAATTGGTAGATGCTACAGACTTAATTGGATTAAGCTTTGGTATGGAAATGTACTAAGTGATCACTTTCAAATTCAGAGAAACCCTGGAATTAACAAAAATAGGCAATCCTGAGCCAAATCCTGTTTCTGAAAACTAATAAAGGTTCAAACAAAAGAAAAAGAATAGATGCAGACTTAATGGATTTTTCTAACGAATGGAGTTAAATGCGTTGGTAGAGGAATCTTATACATCGATCTTCAGAAAGAAAAAGGACCCTTTCTTAAGTTTTCCAGGGGGAGTCGTGTTATTTATAGCAAATTTGGCTTCCCCCAAAACTAGTTGATCAATTGTGTCAAATGCAGCTGGGAATTACGTTGACCTGTTTCCTGCTTATGACTCTGCATAGACCTTTGCTTTTAGGGCATATATGATAAGCTAAGAAGCAGAAAGTGGAAGAAGAAAAAAGAAAAAAGCGAGTGTAAAAGAATCATAAACGCAGTGTATTGTTGCTGTATAACCCTCTAGATTCCTTCCTATATATGGTCTACAAGTAAAATCACAGTCAAAATATAGTTAAGGCTATGCTAAGCATGCTTTATACATTCCGGTTAGTATTTAGATTAACAAATGTTTTTTGGTTGATTTATTGAAACTTAAGAGTAATATTCAGCCATCATATAATCTGGATAAACTTATTGGAGGAATGGTGGTTTAAATTTATGATATCACAAAAAATTATTCNGGGGGGTTACATGGAGAAGTTTATTCATTCTTTCTGTCTTTGCTCCCTTGTGTAAGGGTGTTCATGATGTAGCGGGATTCAGCTTATGTGTGTGATACTTGATTCTCCTTTTGCTGTTAGGGACAATTATTCCAGCTAATGCAACGATTAGAGACCACGACTCCACATTTCGTACGTTGTATCAAGCCCAACAATTTTCAGTCTCCTGGAAAGTATGAGCAAGGACTTGTATTGCAGCAGTTACGATGTTGTGGTGTCTTAGAAGTAGTTCGAATATCAAGATCTGGGTTTCCTACCAGAATGTCCCATCAGAAGTTTGCTAGAAGGTAGGATGGAGTACTATCACTAATGCTTTTTTTTATGTTCATTTGTCGGTATGCTCGAGTTCTTACTCACTTCAATGGAATTCTGCATCAGATATGGATTCCTTTTATTCGACCATGTTGCATCGCTAGATCCACTCAGTGTCTCAGTTGCAATATTACATCAGTTCAATATTCTGCCTGATTTGTACCAAGTTGGCTTCACAAAGTTGTTCTTCCGAACTGGGCAGGTGAGAAAGACTATTATGACCACCAAATTTCTCCTTCTGCTCCCATTTTTTCCCTCTTTTCCCTCCTGCGTGTGCACTTCTGCTGGGCTTTTAATTGTCAATACAGTCAAATTTTATGTTGATCTATCAGCTGTGAATCTGGATTTAACGCTACTGCCAGCACGTGTCATTACCTCTGAGTATAATGTATTGTACAATTATGCCTCGTATACCCTGTTGAACTACCTTGCTCTCTCTTCTAGATTCCCCCAAATTTCAAAGTCCATTACCTCATTTCTTTTTCGTTCAATTTTATTTTGCATGGAGTTGTAGGAATTTTTCACTTGTGAGTTGTACAATCCCTAATTAAAGCTGTAGAGAAAGAAGAGAAGATAAGTATTTGGAACGATTAACGACTTGTATATAGATAGTGCATTGTAGATCACCGGAATCCAATGTCTGTTCTTTCTTTCTTCCAAAGGTAACTAAAGCATGGAATAGAACTAGCTTAAGGACGAAAGCATCTGGTGTTCTCATCATCCTCAACTTACACACGTATCCATGTGCTGCTTCTTTTGTTACAGCATTTGCTAGGTCTTTATGAATGTAAATATAAATAAAAAATATGCAAACTTGTGCTAACTTCCATTGGCGTTTCTGTTAAGTACTTGAGTTATCATGTTAGTAATTGAGTACTGGTGTTTCTGTCAAGTTTCTGACTTTACTCTCTAAATTAGATTCCCGAGAAAGATGACTGAAACAAATCATCTAAACTATGTAACTTTGATAATTGGATTACTATTAAATATCTTAGCTACTGCACAATTGCGTAAAGCAAGCTTTTGGAATTTTGTTCCTTTGCTCCCCCTTCCATTATAAACTTTTGCAATGCTAACATTTGCTTTCCAATCATCTACATCTTCTATTGAGATGTCCACTATAGACCATGCCAACAGAAATGGGTTGAGATAATGTTAAGATAATTTTTTCCCCAAACTAAAGAGCATACTTTCATTTGTTCCATATATTAACTCCAAATGCATTGTTCTCTTATTACCTTTTTTCAGGTTGGTGTTCTTGAAGATACCAGAAATCGCACTCTCCATGGCATTTTACGTGTTCAAAGTTGTTTTAGAGGTCACCAAGCTCGCCGACATCTCAAACAATTGGGCAGAGGAATTGCTACACTTCAGTCATGTGGGTTTTCATTGAACTTTGAACTTTTCCTTCTCTGTTTTATCTGTTTTCATAGGGTTTATGACGCAACTCTATTCCTGCATGCTTTCTCTGTTCAGTTGTACGTGGTGAGAAAGCTAGAAAAGAATATGCAATCTTGCTACAGAGACACAGAGCAGCTGTGTGTATACAAAAGCAGATAAAATACAGGACCAAAAGGAAAACTTACAGAAATATTCATAATGCATCAATTGTGATACAATCTGGTAATTGCTAAAGCTCCAGTTCAATATTTTAGACATGAATAATCTGATTGTATTTTGCATGATTGGATAAATGACATATATTGGCTGTAAGATAGATTTGCACAAATAGCTGTAGTTTCAGGGCTTTGTAGTGTTTTAGACTCCTTTCTCGTATTTGTCAATGAGATAAATTTACTATATGGTTTTAACAATATTTTCACTTGCTCATCCAATAGATTAGACATGGTTTTATCTAGGTTGTTAAACTTAATATTGTAGTTTTCTACTTTTCTTTCACCTCATTGAATTTCTTCTCCAGTGATTCGTGGCTGGTTAGTCCGAAGATGCTCAGGAGACATTGGACTCTTACAATTTGGAGGCAGAAAGGTAATCATGGGTGGCTATAAATTTGGGATGACAACGTTTTGTGACATCTCTTTGTTTTGCACTATATTTCACTCACTGCTTATTCAAGTTTGTTAGTTAACTTTGGATTGGTTGACAAAAGCGTACCATTGATCTTAGTCAGCGATCGGTTCTCGTGCCCGTTTTCTTCTATTGGTTTCTTATCCTGATTAACTTCCTATAGGGTAATGAGTCAGAAGAGGTGCTTGTGAAATCTTCTTTCCTGGCAGAGTTACAACGTCGAGTTCTTAGAGCTGAAGCTGCTCTACGAGAAAAAGAAGAGGAGAATGACATACTTCACCAGAGACTGCAGCAGTATGAGAATCGTTGGTCAGAGTATGAGTTGAAAATGAAATCCATGGAAGAAATATGGCAGAAACAAATGAGATCGCTGCAGTCAAGTCTTTCCATTGCAAAAAGGAGCTTAACCCTTGATGATTCCAGGAGGAACTCTGATGCGTCTGTCAATCCAACCGATGAGAAAGAGTCTAGTTGGGAGACGGGAAGCAACCATAGGGCCCGAGAGAGCAATGGAGCAAGGCCAATGAGCGCAGGTCTTAGTGTCATAAGCCGATTAGCTGAGGAGTTTGAGCAGAGGAGTCAAGTATTTGGTGACGATGCTAAGTTCTTGGTGGAAGTAAAATCAGGTCAAGTTGAGGCTAACTTAAATCCGGATCGTGAGCTAAGGAGGTTGAAGCAGATGTTTGAAGCTTGGAAGAAAGATTACGGATCAAGATTGAGAGAAACAAAGGTGATTCTGAATAAACTCGGGAGTGATGAAGGAGCCAGCGACAAAATGAAAAAGAAATGGTGGGGAAGGAGGAATAGCACAAGGTTTAACTAATTTGCCTTCATAAAAATCTTATTTTGCGTCTCAAAGTTTTTGCTTTACATACGAGGCAGGTGTTGTGCAGGGAGCAAATTTGTATAGAAGTGAAATGGATGTTAGTATAATGTGAGACACGTATTATGTAATTTGGAAATACCCGCGTTTCCGTAAAGTTAATCATTGTTTATGATATTCATATTTGTGTTAAACAACTCATTCTATAGCAGCAAAGACAAGGAAGGTTAGAAATTTCATTTGGTATGGAAATGGAAATTTTTGGTTTTGCTAAGAAATAGATTATGGAAGCAGAAACTGATGTACAAATAAATTGGTACTGGGTAATTGCTTGAAATTAGAGGATGAAACGAGAGGGTGTAAATGCTTTCCCACCTTGATGCTTTCACATCGGGCCCGACTAATCTGGATTCTGATTGCAGTGCATAAGGCCTATTACAGGGTAGAGCGCTTTCATTCCATGATAACGCGTATATACGTATATTGATAGATAATTAGTGGCGGTTTTTAGTTTCATTCAGGATATTAAAAAGACTACAAAATTTTTGAAAAATTCTTATAATTTTTTCAAAAGGATAGTTCAAGGGTCAAAAAGTCATAATCAAACCGTAGTATTAAAATTTTGAATTTTACTTGACCATTACAATTCAGTTAAAACTTCTTTTCACTCACTTTTTACTGTATTCATATCAATGAGTTGTAGCTTTAGAAAATTAGATAAATATTATTCATTTGTTTTAATTTATATTGCACAATCTGTCTGAATAAGTAGGATTGTGATTATGGACATACTATAATATTTGAGTGGCCACAAAAATTTGTCATTGCGTAAAATGAAATGTTCATGTTGAATTATTTTCAAATTTGAAAAGTCATTATTAATTTTCTAAAGGTACTAAAACGAAAATAGTATCATTATTTTTGGAACGAATGAAATCTTGTACCACAAAAGTCCCTAGATGCTTTAGGATTTTTAAGAAAGTTTTTGGGAAACAACTATGCAAATTGTCGTTATTTTTGTGAGCTAATACTAACAAACAAGTAACACAAAAAGTATTTTTATCGTGACTCTTCAAAAATTTCTCAAATAACAATTGGAAATGCAGATGTTGCCCTTTGGCTCTAAAAAATTAATAAATGCCAATATAAAATGACTAAACTTGTTACTAATATATTTGCAGCAAATAACTTAATATATAAAAAATATAGGGAGTTGTCGTTTCTTGGAACAAATGCAAAAAGTAAATCTTAATATTAGCTCATTATAAATTTTTAAAAGTTTAAGTGTAATTATAATTTTATCTATTAAGTATTCTATTTTCAAAGAATAAAAAATTCAATCTGACTCTTAACATTGTGTTTTTGAATCTTTATATTCATTGACTCTTGCCAACAATTTTTTTCTCTTTTTTAATATTTGTAAATATTTTTATTTGTTCTAAAGGTTTCAAGTTGAGTAGGACCAAGACATAATACTTGGAGTGTAAGTTCAGTGGTGAGACTCAAGAAGGAGAATGAGAGGTGAGGCTAGACTCGCTGGTCATCTCTAAGAGAGGGAGTTTTAAGTACCTTGGGTCCATTATTCAGGTGGATGAGGAGATTGATGAAGATGTCACACATCGTATTGGGGCGGGATTGATGAAATGGAGACTCGCTTCCGGTGTTTTGTGTGACAAGAAGGTGCCACCGAAACTTAAAAGATAAGTTCTACAGAGTGGTAGTCAGATCAACGATGTTGTATGGGGTGGAGTGTGGGCCAGTCAAGATTGCTCATGTCCAGAAGATGAAGGTAGCAGAGGCGAGGATGTTGCAATGGATGCGCGGGCACACCAGGTTAGATAGGATCAGAAATGAGGTTATTCGCGACAAGGTGGGTGTGACCCCCTATTGAGGACAAGATGCGGGAAGCGCGGCTTAGGTGGTTTGGGCATGTGAGGATGAGGAGCACAGACGCCCCGGTGAGGAGGTGTGAGAGGTTGACATTGGAGGGACTACGGAGAGGTAGAGGTAGGCCAAAGAAGAGGTGAGGAGAGGTGATTAGGCAAGACATGACGCAACTTCAGCTGACCGAGGACATGACCCTTGATAGGAAGGTATGGAGGTCGAGGATTAGGGTAGTAGATGAGGTAGTCTAGAGTGTTCATAACAGTAGTATTGGCATGCAGTCTCGCTTTCTGTTGGCAGAAGGTTTTTATGACTAACCGTTGTTTTCTTTCATTGTTGAGCACCTTGCTATCTTATTATTTTTATTCTGCTTTTATATGATTTTTTGGTACTGTCCCTTCTTGTTTATATTTTCATTAATGTGGTGCTTATGCTTTCCTGAGCCGAGGGTCTATTGGAAACAACCCTCTCTATTCTCACTAGGTAGGGGTAAGGTTTACGTACACACTATCCTTCCCAGACCCCACGGTGTGGGATATTACTTAGTATGTTGTTGTTGTTGTATTTTTATTTGTTCTAATTATTTAGTATAATTTTAAAATATTATCTTATAAAAATCAATGAATAAAAAATTTCTTTTGAATGAAAATATAGTTTATTTTTTCGTCATGAAAAAAAATAGCTTGTTCTACATGATTGTGTTAAGTATTAAATATATAATTAAATAGAATGCTTTGTTCCAAAACAAACTGTGTTTTGGTTCGTTCTGGTCTTTTCTTACTTCTCAATTTGTTCATGTGTCTTTTATTCCTTCCCCTACTTTCTAACTAATTTCACTTATTTGTTGATTTCTTACTAATTCAACTGACAAAGGATTTAATAAATAAAATAGTTAATTTTAAAGTCCTAATATTAAAAAATTAACATGGAAGAGTTCAAATAAGGAAAGGATTTAGGTAAGTTGAAATTTTAATCGATTTTAAAATCTTAAATTTTAGGACTTTCTACATAATTCAGATAAGAAAGGATTTAATAATCAAAATTTTAGTTAACTTTGAACTCCTAAATTTTATATTACAATTTTATCTAATGTGAAGTCTATTTTATATACGCGTTGCGCGTGTACCTCATACTTATTTTGCGAATATGAGATAGACCAACAGTCCATACGGGACTAAGGGACTATGAAAATAGCGAAAGACCGGATTCAAAGACGCGGAAGATGGTAATAAACTTTATAAAAATAACCTAGATAGTATATTTAATAAATATGTTTGTGTCATAAATAGAAATTAACCAAAATTGTAAGTTCTTANATATATATATATATATAAATAAATAAATCATATTTAGGGGTTTAGATCCACCCTAGTGGTTCTTTCTCCAGTTTGTTTGAGTACTTGCTTTATTGTACAACTAACTGTAGTTGGTATTTCGAATTTTTGCAGATGTTAGTCCTTTGCACGCAAAAAAGCTAGGAAATATACCTATTGAGATATTTAAACATTTATTTAAAAGAACATTCAAACTCATAATCTAGACAGAATACATGTTAGACAATATTCCTAATTTGATGAGCTCCATATTTCCATAAAAACTTAAAACTCATAGGAAAAAAAAGAAAAAAATCGAACAGAAAGATTAGGTACCACACCTCATAACTTGAAAACTATTACTCACTAAAATGTTTATGATGAAGAATACGAATAGTACGTACTAAAGTGATTCAATAATGAATACGGAGTATACTATATGAAATAAGGAGAATAGCGTACCTGAATCGATGAAAGTATCAAAATTATTGTTGGATATAATGATGATAACTGTCAATGTCTATTCCTTGACGAGCAATTTGAGTTGATATAACAATTAGTAGTGATTATAATTTTAAAAGCATAGTATTTATGTGTTTACCCTAAAATTTGAGTAACAATTAAACTTATATTGTGGTTTTAAGGATATGTGATTTAATCCGGTACCAATTGATAAACAACGAATTGAATAAATAAATTGGACAATGAAATGAATCAAACCGGTCTGCAAACAACATCTCGACCTCGATTTGAGATAGTCCCGAGGCTAGTTAATAAGAACAATAGAGGATGGAACAAACAACGATGAACAATAATGAACAAAGAAAATAACGTATATGTATATTCTTATCAGTGAATAATGAGTGCCCTTTACAAGTGAATGAGATCCCTCTTTATATAATAGAGAAATCCTAAATAAGGTACAATTCTAATAACGGAAGTAGATCCCATGATTGGCACTAACAACCGCTTTGTTTTGATCTGTTTCGGGATTTTCGCTGTGATCTTCGACCGGTTACTGATATCTCGCCATTTCGATATTACGCCTTACTCGACGTCAGTCATGCTTGATATCGATTGTTGCTGGCCTCAATCTCATAGAACACTTCGATCTCTAGGCTCGATGTTCTATCTTCGAGCTCGAGCCCGATCTATTGTGAGGTTACCCTCAGGGCAACTCCCCTGCCAATGAAATCGGGTATGCCCGATTTCGACCGTATACAGATAGTCCCCTCGTTTTTTGGAGTGTAATGAGAAGAAATGAATTTTGAGACTTCGATTTAATACCTCGATCAATTATGACGTCAACATCGTGACGTAAGCGACAGACGCGATTGGCGTCGTATCTGCACAGTTCCCAAGGTCATTAATTAACGCCAGTTGATGGTCGGCCACCAGTGCTTTCAAACCATCAAAGTGGCTATTATAAATAGGCCGCCTTCATAATCTTCTAAAACTTTACTTTCAAACTTCTTCTAATCTTCAAAAGCTCTTCTATTCTCTTCAAGTTCATCAACTTTGCCGGTTTCCGTTTGCCAATCTCTTATTAAAACACAAATTCCGCCTTTTTCTTCCTTAATCCTCATATAGCAATGGCAAAAATATCAAAGACCGTTCCTCAAGAGCAAAAGGCCTCCTCATCGCGGCCGGCCGGTGACAAAACACTGGTGGAGCCACGTATCAAAGAGTGCATCCCCGGGCCATGTGAACTTACTTCCGACTTTAAAGTCGAAAAACCCTCTTCGGTTCCTAGCCGATGCGAGCCCATGTCTAGATACATCTGTTCGATATCCGAAGGTGATCTCGAGCAAGTGAAAAAGACAGCCACTGGGAGAATAAAGAGGTGGTGATTTCTACCCCCGAGGAGGACATCACCACTCATGTGAAAGGGTTCTTGAGTGTGTATACTTACCCTTTTACACCGGGTTCCATCGATCCTGTCATAATCGACTTCTGTCGCCAATACCGGGTAACTCTAGGTCAGATCTACCCCTCTTTTTGGCGCATTGTCATTTTTCTCAGATTCTTCTCGAGCAAGGTCG